AGTCACACCTGCATATACCACTGACGCAGAAATCTCCTCGTCGAGTTAGTCACTCTAAGTCTCTCAAGTTTCCCTGTCCAGAGACGCTGGGCTCTGATGTGTGGCTCACTGATGGCTGTCAGCCCATAGACCATCTGGTCCCTTCATGCTGGACTCTTTGACAGATATCGGACTCGCAACTGCTTGAAGCACGCACTGAGATGACTCGCAGTATCCGTTAGGGCCGGGGGGACCTGGTGGGCCGGGCACACCTGGCATTCCAGGAACACCTGCTGGTCCTCTCAGACCGTCACGCCCATTGCTGCCATATGCTGGTTTCCCAGGGTCACCTAAGAGCCGGTGGACAAACAGACCAGCAGTCAGGAGCATGATATTCAGAGATTTAAAGATCATTTAACACACAGTGATGGATATTAGATAAAATGCAGGCCTTGCTCTTACCTGGGAGCCCTGGGGGTCCAGGTACTCCTTTAGACCCCACCACTGTGAGCCCTCTATCTCCCCTATCACCTTGGTCACCTAAATGAAGGACAACACAAAGGTTGTAATATGGGATGTAGATGGTGCTTCATGCCTTAAAATGTTGTTCTGGGAATAGGGAATAAAATAATAGGGTATAAAACAATACTAAATGCCAAAAATAAAATGCAGTTAACCATACATCAGTTATGATACACTGCAAAAAATGATTTCCCATTGGCAGATTTATTAAATTTTTTTTCATTTTGCTTTGATATTTTGCTTAGATGTTTTTACTGGAAAAGACAAAATTAGTCAGTAGAAGATCATTTTTTGAAGTGTAAATGGACTTGACACACTTCTTGTATGTTGTCGACATCAAATGATTCATGGCCAATCATATTCCACAGTATTGTGGCACATTGGTCACTTAGTAATATGACTAATACAAACACAATATTTAGCCCAGTGTTTGTCCCATGTTTTATGCTAGTAAATCACATTTGTACTATTGTTTATGCATTTATTAAAGGGTCATTTTTTCCTATTCAGCCCGTGTCGTGGGCAAATTTAGCAGATTGTTGAGCCTGTACAGTTTATAGGAATGATCCATTTCATGTTTAATTTTAAAGTCGGCATGCAATGGAAAGCAAAAGAAAAATTGTACATATGAAATCATTCAATCAGTCTTAAGGTAGGGTCATATTAGCACAATTTTGGTCTATTTTCCATTGTCAAGTGTAGCGCCACGTGAAACAGCTCATTTTCAAACCGGTCACTTTTCTGTTGGTAAACACAGCAAATCCACTTGATCAACAAAAAACTCTTGCGAAATCTGTATGGGGAGATCTTTCAAATGTGTAGCTTCGTACCTTTGGGCCCTTTCCTCCCTATGAGCCCCAGGGGCCCTTTGAGACCCGGCAGTCCTCTGCTTCCAGGATGCCCAGGGAAGCCATTGTCTCCACCAGGCCCTGGAGGGCCGGGGGGACCAGGAGGACCTGGCAACCCAGAGATGCCCGACTCGGGCCTCGTCAGACTGGCTGCCAACTGGGCGAGCTGTCCTGTGAGGAAACCGGAAATGGCAAATCCATTCAAAAAACGAAACCCATTCGAATTTAACAATGAGTCGAGCTTACATTTGTAAATATCTGTTAGGATATCAAAATACTGACCGTGCAAAACCCTCATGCAGACCTGCTTGATGTGTTCATCTATGGGTGCTCGGCCCTGGAGGAAAATATTTCCTCATTTAGTACAGGTTTAGTTCAGTGAAATCCAGTTCCACACAAATCAAAGTCTCTATGATAAAAGTGTGACATATTTAAGGCGGCAGTAATAAGACGATTAAAGCAGGCGTACTGGTCGTCCCTGTGCCCCAGGCAGTCCAGGTACCCCGCCGTCTCCTTGCATGCCTCTTGGGCCAGGCTCTCCAGCTGTGCCCTCGGGTCCAGGTTGGCCACGCCCACCCTCTGGCCCTTTATTTCCTGCCTCTCCTGGTTTTCCTGTCTGAACACAACAAATGCTACACATTTTTAAGGAGGCCAACATTGAATTTTGTGCACTTGTTGACATTTTATGGATTAATACAGTGTTTATGGATTAAATACTAGTGTTCTAATAATTTTGGCCACCACTGTATATCATTGACATGCTATTAGAGTTTTTATTTTTATATTTTCCTTTTAATTTCAGTATTTTTGTTGTTGTTTTTTGTCATTTTATTCGTTTATATGTCTAGTTTTTATCTTTTTTTTTTTAATTTTGGTTAACATTTATTTCAGTAACAGACAATAGCATCACTTCTCAAAGCAAACTCACCGATCCTTTCTCGCCTGGC